AGCCTGGGACAAGGGTTGGCACCAGCCAGCAGGGCCCCAGGAAGGGCTCTGGGCCTCGCTCTCCACAGATGCACCTGCCAGGCCACCCCTGCAGCCAGCCAGGGCCCCAGCTGGGCTGGGCCTGGGCAGGTTCCCCAGCGCTGCTCCGTGCAGGGGGCAGGTGCTGAGCAGGGCCCGCCACCCCTGTACTACCCCTTGCCAGCCCCACTGCCAGCCTCATGCTGCTGTGCCTGGCCATGCCCTCCGCAGCAGAGCCTCAGCAACTTTTCCAGTCCCCCTGCAGCCCTGCTGCTGAGGCTGTCCTCTTCATCTCCCCATTCCTTCCCAACCAGCCCTACCCTAGGGTGCTGCCAGCTGGAGGTGTGGCATGAGGGCACTTGGGTTTTTTTTTTTACAAGATTCTATTTTTTTTAAATTTATTGTACGGTTACTTTTCAGGATTAATTTTAATAAATTAATGCTGGTACCATTATGGCAGGGGGGGTGTGTGTGTCCCCATGTCTGAGGGCATGACCGAGCACAGCTGGGGGAGAACAAATGTGGGGAGGGTGCAGCTGCTACCCCCACTCGAGCAAGCACAGCAGTCAGGGCTGCCTGAGCACAGCAACGTGGCCTCACCACACTCCCAGCCATGAGCCAGCTGAGCTCTCTGAGAGACTATGAACTGTGACTGGATGGCACTTGGCTCATTTATTTAAATAGAACTCACAAGGAAGAAACAGACTGGACCCAGCCTGCGTCCTCCCAACCAGGTCCTAATCTACCTGAATGTGGAAAACGTCTTTCTCTTTTCGGCAGAGGCCAGGCTAGATGCCATCTTGATCTCGACAGTCTGGAAGGCAACCTGTGGCTGGACCTGGGAAGTGGGGGGTGTTGTGGGTTCAGCAGAGATGTATTCCAAGACATGAGGCCTCCCCTCCTGGCGCTGGAGCGAGCCCTGGTTCAACAGGTGCAGGACGCAGGACAGCACATCCACGCTGTGGCAGCAGAAGCTCAGGAACTGCAGGCCTGGCCCCAACCTGCCCTTCTGACAGGCATCAATCACCTATGGCAGCAAGGGAGCCCCACGCTGTAGTGCGCCACAGCACCCACGCAGCCCCTCTCTGCCCCCCGGGACCTCCGTACCCTGAACACCAGGTTGTCGACGTGGAGCTGCTTCTCCACCTTGAGGATGCGGGTTATGAGGCAGCAGAGGACGTTCCTCTTCCTTTCCAGGGCACTCACCTCTGCCCTCTCCGTCCGCAGGTACCTCTGCTGGGGCAGCAGCCTCAGGTGGCGGTCAGAGGCCTGGGCCAAGGCTGTGTGGTTCAGCCGCAGTGTACCTGGAGCCAGCACCCAACCCAGGGTCAGCCAAGCCTCCAGCTGGGCCCTGAAGGAGCCCCAGGACATACATATGGCTGCTGGACCCAACCTGGGCCTCCCCCGCTGCCCACACAGTTGGCTGCCACAGCCCCATCCCCCACACATGGCCCCAAGCAACAGCCACGCGCACAACCCCTGTCCCTGTCCCAACCCCACACACAGACCCGAGACACAGCCACCCACACTGACCCGCACCCCGTGCATGGCCACAAGCCCAAGCCCCACACACCACTCCCAGCTCTACACCTGGTCCCTGACACACAGACCCACACCCCCAGAACCACCAGACAGATCCGCCTCAGCCTATTTCCTTGCTGTACAAGTTCATGCAGCCCTAACCCCAGCACCTACTCGGGGCTCAGAGCAGCACCTCCCCAGGGGTGCCCCAGCCCCACATTCACCTCCCGGCGTGCAGCTCTGCACCAGGACGCCCTGGCCGTGGGTCAGCGGTGTCAGCGCGTGGTGCACCAGGTCAGCAGGGAGCCCTGTAGCCTGCAGCAGGGCCTCCACAGCCACCTCCTGCAGCAGGGCAGGGGAGGTCAATGGCTGGCCAAGACCTACTGGCCACAGGCCCAGTTAAACAAGGGCGTCCTGTGCCCCAAACACTGCTGGAGACCCCACCGGAACGGAAGGGAGGACACAGCCCTGCCACGCTCTGGCATCCACTGCCTCCCTCTCCTCACTGTGGCCCCAGCTCCTACCTCGGTGCTGTTGAAGCACAGCAGGATGTACATCTGTAGTGTGGACACATGGAGGACACAGTCTCCAAACTGCAGCTCAGCGTGGCCCAGCCACGTCCACTGCAATCGCTGGGGCTTCGTGCACTCCCAGCCCAGCTGGCTCTGACCTGCCAGGGACAGTGTCAGCACCAGGGCCGGGGACCAGCCCCGACCGGCACTCCCAGCTCACCCCACACACCATCACTTCTGGCTGAGCTGCTGGGAGGGTCTGGGCCCTGGAGAGACCCGCACATACACCCACTGCCACTCTGCACTCACTTTGCTGGCAGAAGTCGGCAAACTCATCCAGGGGGGAGCTCAGCGTTGCTGAGAAAAACCTCCCAGGGTTATCCATGTAACAGAGTGGGGAAACAGGCCAGCAGCGTGGGGACAGGGCCAGCACCTTCACCTCTGGCACATCCGCCACTGAGGCTGTCTCCAGCACCTGGGCACGGGGACATGAGGGTGGCTCAGGACAGGCTCCAGGATCCCCATGAGGAATGCCAGTGGTCTCCAGCCTCCCTATCCCACTCCCTCACCTCATCCAGGCCCGTGTCCAGCTCCAGCAGCTGCTTATCCTGCTCCTGCAGCTGGAAGAGGCGGAACTGCTGCTGGAGTTCCTCTGACTCAGCCAAGTTGCTCAGCATCTCTTGGGGAAAGCGGCTGGGGAAGCACAGCCCGATCTGCTCCACGATGCCTCCTTCCAGCCAAGACGGCCCTTGCGTCAGGAGCCGGTCCCCCAGGTAGTGCCTGCCACAGC